TCACGGAAAAACGAATGCAAGCGGCGATCTTATTCTTTGACTTTGAAAAGGCATACGATCAAGTCAATTGGGACTTCCTCCACAGCCGCATGAAGAAGATGGGAGTCGGCCCAAACTTCAGAGAATGGGTTAGAGTACTCTATAGGGATGCCACGGGTAGGGTGCAGATAAACAGAATACTGTAAGAAACCTACTCGATATCGAGATCCGTCCGGCAAGGCGACCCCCTTGCACCCCCAATATTCTTGTTCATAATGGAAGCCATCGCACCTTTCCTGTGCAAGGACCCATCCATAGACCGCCTCCCTGTACAAAACTGCAACCCCCTCCACGACTTTGCTCTCCCCACAGCACAGATGTTCGCAGACGATCTCACTGTCCTCATCCGCGCTAACAACTCCTCCTTCCAAGCCCTGACCCGCGCCATAAAAGCCTTCAGACTCGCCTCAGAAATGAAGGTGAACTGGCTGAAAACGGAAGGGTGGTGGCTCGCAAAAGGCACCCCCCCCCCACCCACAGACCCATCCACCCCAATGTCTTGGAATACAGGCGATCAAGCACTTCGATATCTAGGCATCATGGTAAACAGGGACGGCATCTGGCAAGGGATGGGGGAGTCACTACCTGCCAAACCAAAAACCCGTTTAGCCTTCTGCAACAAAGCCCAGGCCTCCCTATTAGGGAGAGCCCTGATTATCAACACAGCAGTATTCCCCACCTTGTGGTACATGGCCTCCATATGGTGGCCCCCCGACAACGACCTGAAGAAGTTGAAGGCGAGAGCCAGGTGCTATTTGTGGACTAGCGACCCGAACAGAACCACCTGCGTAAACAAGGTGGCTTGGCAAACTGTCATCAGGAAACCACAAGGAGGAGGGCTAGGTATAATCGACCCTAAACCAAATCAAATGGATAATCAAAATCTTAACCAAACAAGCCCTCCCATGGACCGCGATGGCGATAGACAGCATAAGGAATTTGGCACCAGCAGCGACCCCACCGAACATGAGTGGCCTATTCTGGATCATGGCAAAGGAGTGGACAATCAAATCATGGAGACCAGCAAGGAAAACTAACCCAGTGACCCCCATTCAACCCCCCACTACACCCACCCCCTACTGGTCCCCGATCCTGAAGCCCTGGCGCCGACTGATGCCAGAAAAGAAAGGCCCCCCGAGCAACAAAGAGGAAGTCCTACGACAACCCCTGTTCTGCAATCCCTGGATCAAAGACACAGAGGGCAGACCGTGGACTCTTCGGGCCAAAGACCGCAGATGGCTGTCATGGGTGGAGAGAGGAGTATGGCAGGTCAAACATCTGAGGTTCGAAGACCGACAAGAATGGCTCACCTCGCAGGACCTCCGCACTCCCTTTAAAGGCTGCCATCTACTGACCACCAACCTGTCCGAAATTCTCCAAAGCATTCCCCCCCCCATGGACGACCCTCCTAAAAGAGACACATACGTGGAAACCAGGAGACTGGGGACTGCTCATCACACAGACCCCACCAACGAAAGCCTACCGTTTTGTGTCAAAACCGGACTTAATCAAATACCAGGCCAAGTTTGTATCCTACTCCATCATCAAACACGGCCTATATGAACTAGAGATCCTAAACAAAACACCACAGAACGAACAAATAGTAACCTACCTTCTCAGGAAGGTTAGAGTCTCTGACAAGACACCCTGGGTTATATTCCAGCCGGAACTCAGCATCAACAAGTTGGAATTCGACCCAAAGGAAAGGATCTGGGATCTGGGTGCCGCCAGTAAATCGAGAAGGATAACAGAATATGACGTAAAGTTCGGGTACAACCTCGGACTACAAACCAGGGACCCGAATTCAAGACTGGCAGAGAAATGGAGAACCATACTGAACCTAGATACCACGACCCCCATCACCATCACATGGACCAAGTACCTTCTCATCAGACTAAGTAGAATCCGAAGTATGCAATGGCTAATAGCACATGCAGCCCTGCCAGTCAACCAATGGTTACACGAGAGAAGGAAACATTCTGATCCTGATAGCTCGGCATGCTGCTCAATGTGCAGCAACGACTCACCCGAAGAAATCCCCGCCTCCTCTTCTGCCCTGAAGCAATCTGGATATGGAAGAAGATCCGCGAGTTATGGTCGTTCCTGTTCACTGCCCCCCCCCCCAAACATCTCCCCTATCTCTATCCTACTTCTAACTAACATCCCCAGCAACATCACAGGCAGCAGGGAAGCATGATTCACCCTACTCAGGAAGCTGGCACTATGGGTGATATGGAAACGCAGATGTACTCAGACAATCGAGGGAACAGAGGTGGCAAGAGAAGAAATGTGGTCATTACTGCTGAGCATGGCAGAGACGGAAATCAGGAGCAGATGGCGGAGAATAGCAAACTCTACGAGACACAGACCAGAAAGACGAGCAACCAAGAAAAGGACTTTCATAAGGAACTGGTTGCTAAAAGGCAAGGTGGCAACGATAGTAGACAATAGACTGAGATGGAAGAAATGGCACCAGGCAGAAGCATGAAGACCACGAGGATACATGCCGGGAGACCTGGCAGAACGAACTGAATGGTGATCAACAAAAAGAGGACCGGACACACAGGGAAAGACAAGGACAAGCAACAGAACACAGACCGGACTCCCCCACTGTTCTCGTATTACAGGGACTTATTCGACGGGCTCTAAATAGAAGCCTGAGAGGAACAAATGGTCAGGGTGAGCTGACAGTCAATCCTCCTTAGAAGGAGCAATCAATGCTGATCACAAGTCCTTCGGCCAGACGGAAGGAAGCGTTGAGTGGGTAATATGATGTAATCCGTTTTTGACTTGCCGGGGGAATAGGAACCGGACTGACGCTAATGCCCGATATACCGTGGTCTAACATCCTATCTATCAGACTGGGTCAAGTTAGAAGTATGCAATGGCTAATAGCGCACGTGGCACTACCAGTGAATGTGTGGCTCAACGAAAGAAGAAGTCACAATCAGAGAAACGAGGAAGYGGAGCTTTGCAAGGTGTGCCAAGAAGGGCTTCCGGAAACATTGGTGCATTGTCTGCTGGAATGTAAGGAGGCAGAAGTATTGTGGGAACAAGTTAGGGGGATTTGGAAACAGGTAGCGACGATAGCCTTTCCAGAGTCAAAGATTACCATGCTTTTGGGGACTGGGGTTCCYAAAGGATGGCAACCCTATCAGAGGCACATCTTTCAACTGTTTAGACAATATGGACTGTGGACCATTTGGAAGAGGAGATGTCAGGCAACTATGGAAGGAACACTAACTCATAGGGAGGAAGCTAGAGAGCTGCTC